GTGCCTTACTAGTAGTAACAATGTTTGCTATTAGGAACAATAAGCTACTAGGAACAAGTGCCACGCTAGTAGGAACAGGTGCCTTACTAGTAGTAACAATGTTTGCTATTAGACACAATAATTAGTCCTGTGCGCAGCTTGTGGAGTCGGTCGGTTCTCGGCTTTTATGTCAAGCTGCTCAGCGCCATCTGGACTGGAAGATCGGAAACCGTGTTCGTCCGGGGGAGGTACAGTAGGTCATCTCCACTCGTTCCACGAAAGCCACTTGCTGTGATTCTTTCATGTTGGGGTAGAACGGTAGAACCATTGTATTTTTTGACTTGTTTATTTACAACCGGGATCTCCTCTTCCTTAGACCGTGAGGACACATCGTGTAACGCACATCCTCGTTCCTTTTTGTGAGAAGTGTCTTGCATGCGCCACTGCTGCCACTGCCACCTTTGCTACCTAATTCATTCCCCTGGCAGCAATATGTTGAGCTGATTGTTTCCCAAATTATGGAGAAATCCAGTGCAGACTGTAGGCAATTTCAGAGTTTCACATCGAATCTGCAACTTTTACTTGAACGCTCAGGCTATTGGCTTTTTGTTTCCTGTGCAGATTCTTTGAGCTTCAAATCTGCCTGCCAAGCGGGGGTAAAGACGCCTTGCACAGCTTTCCACGGCAGATTTGCATGTGTTTTCCTGCATGACTTAGCCCACTCTGGTGAAAACGTCCACATCGGTGAAGCGCGCGCGTTGAAGGTTTCACAATCTCTGAGATTTGTACTACTAGCGTGGCACTTGTTTCTAATAGCTTTTTTGTTACTACTAGTAAGGCACTTGTTACTACTAGCGTGGCACTTGTTCCTAATAGCTTGTTGTAAATCTCTGAATAATGTGAATGCGAATGCATTCTGAATCGAGACAGTGGCATGTTCTGCCTCGACACGTCGCCTTCAGGTGGAGATCTTCAGCCCCTTGACCCGAACGGAGAACGGAAATGAGAACAAGGCGAGAATGGTTCCTTTCTTTTAGGCGAGGCTACAAACGTAGCTCCAGCTCTTTTCTTCTTTCTTTCCCGCACGCGGGGGGGGTAGGCCGCTAGAGGTAATGCAGGATAGCTCACGCACGAATGATTTGGTTTCGAGATTCTTAGATTAATTTAAGCTAAGCCAGGTGGCCACGATCTTCGGAAGAAACCTTTGGACGGAACCTTCGAAGATTGCTTTGAAGACTCCGCTGCGCCACTGGTTCCTCAGGTCTTCCTAGTGAATGGAAATGGAAACAAGGCGGGCCAGGATTGGGGGAGGCAACCGGATCATCCCCATCATGCACATGTTCCGGAAGGTAGGTTCCGGTCGGTCGTGGAGCCATGCGCAAGAAGATGTGAATGTGATGTTTCCGCATGGTCAAGAGATACGGCCGCCATGGAGGATGACGGGCGATCGCTCTGTTTTTCATCCTGACGTGTCGCAGGCGCTGAGTGAAGCTCAGGCCTGTGTCATTTTGCAAAGGCCGGGTGGTCGTCGGGCATCCGTCGGGCATCTTGTGCAGACGAGCCAGCCACGCTTTGAGCTCGCTGGTCCGTACAGATGTTTCGGACATTCCCCTAGTAGCGTCCTTGCTAGTAGCGATGCCAGGAGCCCCTGGTAGCGTCCTTGCTCTTGTTTGGTTCTGTTGGTGCAGATGTTTCGGACGTTTGCAATTTGCGCTCCCTGTTGGTCACCTCACCGCGACCACGTTCGGACCTGTCACAGCCCACCAATGATTCCGATTCGACTTCTCAGATGGTGGAAGCGACGCCGCGAAGCAGAACGAATACATTACGAAAGACTGGTTTTGGCCGCTTGGCCGTGAGGGGGAACCTGAAGGGTGGCGCCGGTGGTGTCCGGTTTGGTGCGACAGGACGGAAAGGGAGAAACCAGGAATGACCAGCGCAACAGCATGCAACAGTAGCGATGCCAGGAGCTAGTAGCATCCTTTGCTCCTAGTAGTAAGGCCAGGAGCCCCTAGAAGCTTCTTGTTACTACTAGTAAGGCACTTGTTACTAGAAGCGATGCACTTGTTACTAGTAGCATCCTTTGCTCCTAGATAGCATGCAACAGCTTTGTAGATAAACAGGTCCAGCCAACAAGTGAAGAGAGCAAGCCAGATGGCCCCTTTTGACCACGTGTCCGTCGATTTTTGTCTGACCTGTGACGGTCATGCGGTTGTTACTCTGTCTCCAAAAAGATGGCCCGCTCATCGCGAGTCACACTGGGAGTCATGCTTTTCGGGAACCAAATAGATGTTTGGAGCTCCAAAACTCATCTCCGTCATACTGGAGTCACTCATCACCCAAAGTCTAAAGACTGAATCATTAGGAACAAGAACGCTACGTACTAGGAGCAAAGGGCATCGCTACCAGGAGCAAGGACGCTACTGGGGGCTCCTGGCCATACTACTACTACTACTACTACTGCTACTACTACTACTAGTACTACTAGTACTACTAGGAACAAGAACGCTGCTAGAAGCACTCATTAGTCATTCTCTTTCTTTCGATCCGTCAAACCGAATCTCCAGTGCGGTTGAGAACACCGACGCCTCGATGTGCCTCGTGTCATTCGTCCAGGAACTCATGGATCTGCGAGATGAGGCTGCCTTGCAGGTGGGATGGCGATGACACTCTGCAATCCACCTAAGATCCCTCAAAAAAACTGGTCAGTTCATGTGTTTTCTGTTTTAAGGTCTCGTTTGGACAAGAGTTTGGCCAGTTTTTGAAGTCATGTTCTTTTTTGATCTTTTCAGTGCAACACTTGGTCACTTGGCTCTTCAAGTGTTTCTTGAACTGACTTGGGGGTATTTGGTTGTTTGGTTGGTCAAGACTCGACAATGCTCTTTGGACAATTCCTGAAGAGCAAAGAAGTCAGGATTCCAGGACCAAGACTGAACATTCATAGAGTCAGAGACATTCAGATTTCAGCAAACCGCCGCTGCGAAACTCTTTTCGGCTTCAGAATGCTTTCTTGGACTCTGCAAACTCATCATCCAGGTGGCTAGCATCGCGCACACTTACAGAATCTTACAGACTCAACTGGCACCAATTGGGACCAACTCCTCAACGTAGAGCGGGGCGGAACTGAAACACTTAAGATCCACGCGAAAGCACAGGCGCTTGACTCGCGTCCGGCAGTGTGAACACCCGACATCCGTCCGTCATGGCCCTTGTGTTGCCTCCGCAGGCGGAATTCTACTAGGAACAAGAAGCTACTAGTAACAATGGCATTAGTATTAGTAACAAGAAGCTACTAGGAGCAAAGGGCATCACTACTAGAAGCAAGGACGCTACTAGGGGCGCTCCTGGCATTACTGCTAGTAGCAAGAAGCTACTAGGAACAAGTGCATCGCTTCTAGTAACAAGTGCCTTACTAGTAGTAACAAGAAGCTGCTTAACAAGTGCCTTACTACTAGGAGCAAGAAGCTAGTAGCATGCCCTTCAGTCGATCCAAAGTCCGACCCGACAGGACGGCTCGGTGCGCGAGTTGGACGGCTTGTCGGTACGCAGACTTGGAAGGCGAGAGACTCAAGGAGAGGTCTTTTCGAAGCAATCCGTTTTTTCTATCCCGCTCCCCCCCCTCCGTACTTAAGTACGGAAGAGATAGCTACTAGCTACTAGCTACTTAAGCAAATAGTGATGGCCTCCAACCTACTAGCAATGGCTTCCAGCTACGAGAGAAGGACACCAATGGAAACCATTGGACATGGAACATTTATGAACATGTCCTGTTCATTTTTGTTGTTTGTTGTTGGCGTTTCTTTGCGATCAAAGCTGTGAGATTCTCCACTCATGCGTGGCACCCTGTGTCGTTGCGCCAGGCCGACGGTCTCCCAGCGTCCAGTTGGAGCGATCCGACCGAACTTGGCTTTCACAGTGGCAGGCCTGAGACGGGGAAGGATCTCAAAGGAAAGGCAACTCTTCCTTTCTCAAATGTTCATGAGCGTTTTTTTTGATTCCCATCAGAAACTGCCAGCCTTTCCTCTGGATTTTAGTGATGGCAAACAGGGTAGCTACAAAGCAGACTAAGCTCTTCGGCCCAGCCAAGAACAGGGTCCAGCAAAGACAACTTGCGGCCCTGAAACGCTGTTGACAAGCGAAAGAGACCAGCTTGATGCCAGGTGTGTTTGCGGTCGCACACAGCCACAAGCACAGGAGGCGCTCGTTTTCTTCGAGCTTCTAGATGGCTTGCTCCTTGTAAAGCAAATTTTTGGATCTGCGCCACACGCTCAGAGAGCGAAGCACTTGCAGGATCCTGCGGAGGGCAGAAATCGAGTCGCCCTTCAAAGATGGAGTGCAACAAGGACGGGACCGCTGCACTCTTGTATCTTTTTTTTGGGGGGGTAGGCCGCAAGTGGACGTACAGGTAGCCAGTAGCTATTGAGGAATCGCTAATAGTTTAAGTAGCAGCTACTAGTAGCTACCGGAAGCTTTCTTAAAGAAGCGCTCGCACTAATGATTTGGTTCCTAGAGTTTTAGGGAAACTTAAGTTGGTTTCGGGGGAACGCCTTTGGTTGGAGACCATCGCTCTTAGCTTGGAGGCCGGCGCTTTTAGGTTGGTTGCCATCGCTCTTTCCTTTTGCACTCTCAGATTTTCTCTCCACAAGGGCCTCGGGGTGCAGTGAAGCAGGCCAGCAACAAGGAATCGGCAATCTGGGTTCGCACCGAAAGTTGGATGGTTGAGATTTGGGAACATGTCTTTTTGTAGCCTCCTCCCCGCTTTATTAAGTATGGGCGACTGGTTTGCTCCTGGTTAGGATGCAGGATAGCTCACGCTTCTTCAAGGAAGATACCCCTGCTTGAGGGCGAAGAAGCGCTCCCTCTAATGATTTGATACTTAACTAGTAGTAAGGCCAGGAGCGCCCCTAGTAGCGTCCTTGCTCCTAGTAGCGATGCCCTTTGCTACTAGTAGTTTGTTGTTCCTAGTAGTAAGGCCAGGAGCTCCTAGTAGCTTCTTGTTCCTAATAGCCCCTCGTGCACAGCCTTTTTGGTCTTCGGCAGACTTCTGGTTCGCAAGGAAGGCCAAAGCTTGCTTTGACTGAGGAGAATATTGAGAGCCTTGGAGCAATTCCGTCAGCCAGACAAGCCCCCCCCTAGCAGTGGTGACAGGTGTTGATGGCCATGTTCTTGGTCTTGCACGTTTGATTTGCTTTCTGCTTTTAGGATGGTCTTGGATGAGCTACGACCATATCTGCAGAAAGATGGAGGTTGGGATCAATCAAGTCAACGTGGTCAGCAGTTCTTGTTCCTTTGCTCCTAGTAGCGTCCGATCGCTCCTAGTAGTACGGCCAGGAGCCCCTAGTAGCGTTCTTGCTCCTAGTAGCGATGCCCTTTGCTCCTAGTAGCGATGCCCTTTGTTTTCGCAAAGGTGACTGTAAGCTCATTGAGATTGAAGGGCCCATTTTGCGCCTGGAAATGCAAGGTGCAACTCGACTCTTCGACCCGTGGGTCGGCAATTTCGCACAACGGTACTTTTGCTGGCATGTTCAACGAAGAAACGCATGGAAAAACACTTGCTAGAAAGCCAACAAGGCAGGAAGTGAGGAAGCACCAGACCGGCCAATGCGCGTGTTTTTTGTGTTTGGTTTCAACAGCCAGCCGTCAGGTTCTTGTGCTTCGTGCTCCTCTTCTGCCATCACTGTGAAGATGGGGATTGAAAGGCGCCGAATAGCCGAAACCGTGGTGTACGAAGTGGGAGCAAAGCTAGCAGCAAAAGCTGTAGTTTCGGTTTATGCTAGCCAAAAACCAACCCGGAGATGTTTTTCCTTCCCTCCGTTCCAAGGGCATGTCATTCGTTTGCATGTCTAACTTGTTCTGGGTCGGCTCCAGCGAGGACGATGTTGGACCGATTTCCTGAGATCTATGAAGTGGAAGCGGTGATGCCGGGCTTCAAGGTCCCCACCGAGGCGTAGGGCAGGGGAAGCAAGGAGTAAGTTTCTTCTTTTTGAGCCCGCTCAATTAAGTAAGTAGGCGCCTACTAGGCTAAGGGAGAGTGGGCTACTAGGCTAAGTAAGCTACTAGACATGGACGCAGGAAGCTCATTTCGACTGAGGGCGGGACGGTAAATGCAAACCTTCAGGGAGGACCAACCTGTCGAAAAAGCAGTTGCCACGGCGAAAGCGTCGCGAAGAAATGAGCTGTTGAGCTGCCAATGTCAGGTCGGTCAGGTCTCTGTTCTTGTTCCTTCAATTGATGAGTTGCTTGATCATGACTTGCAACCTGTTGGTTTCTTCCTTTCTCCATGACTCTTAGTGCAGCCTTGCAGTGCAAAGGCTCATGAAAAGCGGGTAGAGCTGCGTGTTGCTCCTCACCACCTTCGTCAGCATCACCATGATCAGTTGATGGCGTTGGGATGGTGGCAGTGATGGCTCAAGCACATCAGTTTCAGTGGATTCGATTCCATGCCAAATCTTTGATCAAGTATCTTGCCTTTGTTTTTTCAAGTGCAAACCTGCACCCTGCACCAATATGTTGTTGATACTAGTTACTAGTGCCTATACTTTCTCTCCGCAACCCACCCACCGCAGACTTGCACAAACGGCACCTTCTGATTCAAGTCCAGTTCTGTTACTGTTTCAAGCCCAGAAAGCCGGGCAACACGCCGCTCGTACCACCTCGCAAAAACCTTCAGCGCCAACGAACGAGCCTTCCCTGGTGCAAAAAAGAACAGTAACAAAAACTAAGTTTCCCTAAGAATCTAGGAATCAAATCCTTAGTGCGAGCGCTTCTTCAAGGAAGCTCCCTCTAAGTGACAAAGTACCGGGACGTTGTGATGGGATGTATTTTCCTTCATGCGGGTGGGCTGTCGATCAGAAAGTGTCTTGATGTTTCATAAGCCCTTTGTGCTCAGCACTTTCTTTGTGAAAGAGACATTGCACTTCGTTCACTTCGTTCCTTCCTGCACGCCAGGAAGGAATCGAAGAAGTTCTTTCCACTATTGGACCTTTCCTCTCAGTCAGCGGCGGAAGCATTGAGCTTATTGAGCACCTTGGTACCTGAGAAGGATGATAAGGACCACCATTGTTTTTTTTCATGTCCCTTTTCTTCCCGTTTCCTGTCTTTTTGCAAAATGTCTTGTCAATGTACCTTCCCATTTCATCCCATTTCTGTCTTTCTCCCTTCCCATCTGAGCAAGACTATGGGATCTTATGGACACGGCAATACTTGTGAAGAGACCTGAACATGTCCTTCTTGGAACACTTGTTGCAAAAATCTTACCTCGAAAGAAGCTTTGCGAATCCGAGGCTGGATGATGGCGAAGGGGTGAATCCTCGACCAACCATTGCCTCTTGATCTAACAGCAGTAGGTAGGCACTGCTGATTTCCAGGTTTTGGTCTCGACCTGGTGTAGCTTCGGCTCGGGCAGCTAGCTTTCGTCTTTCCTACTTCACTGTTCTTACACATCATCTTGAGAACGACACCCAGTGGCACTTGCAGTTCACCGAAGGTACTGGGCATTGGGGGCCCTCCAGCCAAGAATGCCAGCTTGAAAGATCTTGCCTCAGAAGGGTTCTGCCGTTCGAGTTTCACAACATGTTTGTCTAGTTTTTCTCAAAACCATCGCATGACTTCTTGACGTTCTTCTTCCGGTGCAGGACCTGTGTTCTGTTGTTCTGTTGTTCTGTTCAAGTACTTCCAAGGCGGAAGTGCTACGACGCATCAAGTTCGTTTATGGACAAGCGGAGACTCTTGGAACGGAGACGAGTCAGTCATCTCACGGATCAATTGTTGGGTCTGATGGGTCAATGAGACATGTTTTTTGAGTCTCAATTTTCTATATATTCTTTTGGCCCGCTCCTCCTCCTCCCTACTTAATTAAGTAAGCTACTACAAGTAGCTAGCACCTTACTTGAGCTACTAGTATGGATGGCTCACGCTCGCACTAATGATTTGGTTCCGAGATTTTGGGGAAACTTAACATATTAGGTAGGTGCCGTATGTCCTTTGAGTCTCAAATTTGGTCTCAAAAAGGGCGGTCCTCGCCTGATTGCCCTCTTTGCATTTGTGAGGATTCAGCTGCTGGAGTTGGTCCTGGAAGACGATTGAATGTCCCGGAAGCGGCGACGTCCGCAGAATTGTCTCTTCATCGGTGCTTGTTGTGCCAGCCCTGTGCTGTTGATGAATGGTGGCTTTGCTTTGCTAGGGATGTTGTGACATGAAGAGAGAAGTGTAAGAAAACTTCTTCACTTCCTCAGTCTTCTTAACAAGAAGCAGCTCGAGCGAGTTGAGCTCAAGCCGCTTCTGCGAACTTCCGCGGGCAGAGTCAGGGCCAGCTTCCGCATTCGGGGCATTAGATGCCCGAAGAAATGGCCGTGTTGTGCTAGCCATGATCCTTTTAATTTAGAGAAGATCTCATTGACACGTCACTTAGAAAGATATTGTTTCCATCTCAAGATCTGATGGTCTTCTCTTTTTCCCACAAAGGTCACGTGCAAACACGTGACTGTTCATCACTGGTGCCCGGCTTCACAGGACCCCACATGAAGATCTTATTCGTGTCCAGTCCGGGTCCGGGTAAAGCCTTCCATGGCTTCAAAACCGCTTTCACTCCAAGAGCCGCAAAAAAAAAGATGTTTGAACGTACCGAAGAAGCCTCCGGAAGAAGGAGGGTCTCCAAAGTAGGCGTCAGTGAAAGAGATGTTTTTTCGTGCTTTGTTTTGCTTCCATTCTCGTAACACGCAACTCAAGCCAAATGATGGACGATTGCTTAGATTGACCCGTTCCTGCCAGGTCCAGCGGATCTGGAGGGCAATCCTCAAGAATCGTCGCAGAAGAGCTTTAGCGGGCAATCTGGGCGGCACTCCTCAATCATGAGGCGACTTGCATCCAACGTTTTGGCACATGTTTTTTGTTCTGGATGTTCTTGAGTGCGCATGAGCACGCCCTTCCAATCTTTGTCAAATGTTTCTGTTTCCACTTGAAGATGTCGAGAAGTTCTTATTTGGAGACGCAGCTGGACAGGAAGTTTCACGAGCTTGCTAGCTTCTGCACGTAGGGATCACGTACCGTTTCACCGTGTGTTTTCTTTTTGATTCGCATCTTTTCACCAATGTGTTTCCACGCAACAAAGACAGCGAAAGCACCGTCTTCCCGCCGTCTCCTTTAGAGCACCGCTGAGGGCAACCGTGGCAACCAGTGAGGCGTCGATTTTGTGCACGTCGCGTGAGAGTGGGTGCTTGAGGTGCTTGGAGCTTTAGGCGTTCCTATCACCTCCAGCTTTGCTGGGCTCCGCCACTGTGCTGATGAGCCACGGTGAGTCGAATATGGCTGATGACACAAGCTGTTTGTTTGCACCGCTCTTTTTCAGCGACATTCCACAAGATGAACATTGGCAATCACAAATTTTGCTGACAGTCTCGCTGAGCCTTTTCTCAGCTCAGCGGTCTCACACTTGGCTCCATGATTGCAGCCAGGAAGGCCGCAAGCGACTCGGCATGCGGGGCGCATCCCTTGAACCTGTGTGAAGAAATGCTTCTTGACCATTTATCACTCTTGACCCTGTTTCAATCACATTGACTCTCCCAGCCCGATGTTTTGTTTGAATAGAGCCTATTTGTAGGCTCAATTGTGAGGACTGGTCCTCCGGTTTGGTTGCGGATTCTAATTAAATTCTTATTGTTACTACTAGTAAGGCACTTGTTTCTAATAGCTTCTTGTTACTACTAGTAAGGCACCTGTTACTACTAGCGATGCACGTGTTACTTGAAATTTCTGCAACCACGATCTATTTTCCAAGGGAAACAATTGCCTTTTCCAGCTGCTCATATTTGCCTGAACGGCCAATTGGTGGTATCACATTCCAACTTTGGAATGGTTGTTTGCGAAAGAAAAAAGGTAATATATTTGTTTTTTTATAGCATATATGTTTTTTTTTTTACTTAAATTAATACTATTCTAATTTAGTTTTTTTATATAGTTGTTTGATGAATTTGGATTTAGTTGTTGTAATTGATGATTTATTAATCTTAAATATGTATATTGATGTGTTTTTTAATTTGATATAGGAAAATAAAAAATTTAGATATATTTAGGTCGGAGTTGAATTGGATATTAAATAGTACAATGTATGATTGATATATTTTTATGGATAGTGTTTAAGATTTATAATATGAAATGTTATGTATTTGGGTTTTTTTTTTTTTTTTTGATAATATTATTATAAGGTGTATAAATTGAATACTAGTATTTATTATTTATGGAAATGAACGATTTTATTTGATAGAAATATTTTTAAATATTTTTAATAAAAGGAATTTATACTATATTTCGTTATATTTAATATCTTAGATTGATATTTTATTAATTAGGATATATTTAAGAATTATTAAGCGCCATTTGCAGATTAAGAAAGGGAGCGTCGGGCGTGGCTTTCTTTTTTTTCCACTTTCGTGCTATGCGTTGTTTGTGAGTGTCCGCAGCATGCCTAGCCCCATTTTTTCGCTCCTCATCCTTTTGAACTTCATAGATTTGTAATGCCTGGTCCCAAGTCCAGGCGGGATGGACCGAAATGAGCCTTCTATGCTTGCACCCACCATCCCGGGCGTGAGGGTTGCCTCTCTCGCCTTAGGAGAGCGCGTGAGCCCGATTTATGTCCATGATACTCCACCACCTCGGGCGAAACATCACGAGGCATGGGCAACAGCTGGCTTAGGCCTCGTCCAGTCTCGGAATCGGTGCAACCGATTAAAACGATCGTATACTCGAGCATGTTTTCGATCCTTGGATCACGGACTAGCCATGTATCGCAATAAAGCCTTGTACCCAGCACAGGTACCCTTTCGAATACGCCAGCTATGGGCACAGCGTCGTCGACAGCTTCCCTGCCCTCGGGTATCCAATCCGACCCCTTCCGCATCAGGCCATCTTCAAGTGCTACAGTGGAATGCTTCAAGATCGCTGCACTATCCAAGTTGGCTTGCCTGGTGGGATCGATCCCCATATGACATCATTATCGCCCAGGAAACGGGATGGGGAATGACAAGTGAATGGAGTACCCCTCAATGGCATGTGTTACATGGGGCTGATCGGTATGCTTCAGTTCTCGTGATGGTTCGTGCAGCCCTGATCTTACGAGAAGCCATCTCGGTTGCACACCACATCCCCGGCAGGATCATGCAGGTGAGATTGCACTTGTACCGCCCTCACGACATATATGCCATCTATCAATATGCATGGAACTCAGGCGGGAACGTTTCGCAATTGTTGAACAAACGCCAAAGAGTTTGGGATTGCCTTCGTAATTGCATCAACCATACCCCAACTCGGAATCTTCTGGTATTAGGCGGTGATTATAACACACCACTTGATTTTGATGGTCAGCATATTTTCACCAAGGATCCCAAGTATGCCAAAGCTGCTCAAATTGATCGGGACCAGTTTCGCGCACTAGTTCAGGATAACCGCATGGCAGCTATTCACACTAGGGTATTCCATCCCACGTTCGTGCATGGTAATCATAATACTCGAATCGATTTCGTGTTGATGCGCAAGGACCAGATTTCCTGGAGCCGAATGCAACCGAAGCATCACCCTGACTTCGACTTTTTGTTTGGCAATCAAGGCCCACGCCACTATCCATTGAGCTTCCATTTGTCCAAATGGTACCCAACTCCCAATCCCAAACACCATGAAGGCATCAACCGGTTCCGCCTTCGACAGGCCTGGACTCAGCAAACACCGCAATGGGACACCTTCCTGACTCAGGCACGACAGGCCATTGCTACCACAACAGTTCAGTCATCACCGATCGATAATAATCTGGCATTGGAACGAAGTCTTGTACAATTGTGTAAGCAATGTTTCCCGTCAGTCAAACGACAGACCCAGGTGGATCCTGTCTTTCGATCACTCAGTGCCCAGATGTGGCTAGCACGGAAGGCTGTCCTGGCCTTGCCGAATTGTTGTCTCAAGTCCGTGTTTCAGGGTTGGTGCAAATTGACTCGCTATCGTACTTTGCATAAATAAATCAGAAAGTATAGCCGGATCAATAAACGGACCAAACTCGAAAACTTCCTCCGGGAAGGTGCTGACTTGGCCATGAAGCACCAGTCATTTGACTTCTTTCGACGAATCCGCACGCTCTGTCCCAAGCAACGGTACCAGCGAATTCACATGTTTGATGGTCATGGACAACCATTGAGCCCCCCACAAGAGCTTAGTGAACTGGTTCAATACTTTGGGACTCAGTTTCATGATCCAGACTTTCAACCAACGGCCCTGCCCGCACTTCAGGTCTTGCCATTCGATGAGAGCACCGTGCATGCAGCCTTACAGCGCCTGCCTGCCACCAAAGCCGTGGCTCCACCATGTCTCCCAGCCATTGTTTGGAAAGTTTTAGCCACTGAACTTGTTGGTTCGACATATCGCGCCTTGGCTCACTGGTGGAGCGCTTCCCCCCCACAAGCTCCTGATGAATGGACGGCTGGATGGCTGCATCTCATTCCCAAACCGGGAAAGCCCAGCACGAAACCGCAAGCACTTCGGCCGATATGCCTTCAACACCCTGTCTGTAAAGTTGCTTCGAGTTTTGTCACCACTCAACTGTTGCAATACACCATCGACAAACTTCGTTGCTTTCCTTTGTATGCTTATCTCCCCAATAGGAGTACTGCTGATTGTCTGCTTCGAGTGTCGCATCATTGCAGACAGGTTCGCGACGACTGTCACATGTACAGCCAGGATAATTCAAGGGATGGCATGTTTGGCGGCCTGCAGGTTTCGTTAGACATGAATAAGGCCTTTGATTCGGTCAGCCGCAACACGGTGAGCCTTGCCATTCTAGGCTTGCAACTGCCCCCGGATCTCCAGACCATGATTCACACACTGTTGTCCCCCCACAAATACTATATACCGCATAAAAAGTTAGTGGGTGAGATTTTGGCCACTCGAGGGATTCGTCAGGGATCAAAAGACGGTCCGATCCTTTGGACACTTTGTATGCATTTGGTGCTCACCGATCTGGCGGCTCGATACTCGTACCAGTGGATTCACGAACATGTCATAATTTATGCGGACGACGTGCACTTGCGATGGCGCACTAGTCAGCTGGCCGATGGCCTCACTGCCCTGTCAGACCTGGACCACATTCTTCGAGTCTTTCGCATGTATGGCTTCTCCATCAACCTTGACAAGAGTGTTGTCTTGTTTCGGGCCGTGGGCAAAGGGGCACACCGATTCACCAAACGGTGGGTTGTCCGCACCAAAGCTGGTCCTTTTCTGACCATGCCTGACTCCTCGATCCGACTGCCCATGGTTTCGAAAACGGCGTACCTTGGAGTGATTATAGGATACAGGGCATGGGAAATGGACACAGTAGCACGACGTGCACAGGCCGCTCACATGTGTTTTTCGACCCTGAGGAAGTGGCTCACAGCCCAATGTGTTCCGCAAGACATCAGGTTTCGATTGTACCATCAATGCATAGTGCCAACGCTCATGTATGGTATTCATGAAATGGGCATCACCCAGAAAGGCTTTCGTAAGATAGTTAGCATCATTAATGTGCACTATCGACGCATGATCAGGGCCCCTGTTCACTTAACACATGAATCCACACAGGACATGTTTTGTCGACTGAATCAACCTTCTCCCTGGGCGATTCTCCAGAGCCACAACCTTCGACTGCGCCAATCGTTGCTGCACAAGATTCAGCAAGCAGTCGAATCTGCCATGGATGACCGACCTCCCGATGTGATTGCATTGACCCCAGATTATCCCACGAGCCACTTAGACACGCCGAGTGATTCCTCCCAACCTCATGCTCAGGATCCCTCTCTTGAGTGCCCGGAATGTCATCGACAGTTTAACCAGGCCGGGATACTGAAGCGGCACATGCGTCAAATGCACCACATCCCATGTTTGCCAGAAGATGTATATAATCCCCTGCGCGATTCATTCGATGGCACTAGTGTCTGTCGTCATTGCATGACCCATTTTTCCAACATGACGACATTGCGTACCCACATTAACAAACGTGTTTGCACAGCTTTTGACTTGCATCAGGCCCTGGTGATCCCGATTGTGTCCAGACCTGAAGTGGCCATGCACATTCGACACAGGTCGTACATGGGCCTGTACTTGGATAAGCCATTGTGCCTAGAGCTTGCCACTCGCTGTGCCTTCTGCAACCAACAGGTCCATGCCAAGGCAATGACCCGTCACTATCGGGACCACCATCAGGAGAAGATCAAACCGACCAACACACACTTGGAAATGGTCAGAGGCTTTGCCAACTTCGGGTCAGGCCGAGGTGAATGCCCGCTTTGTTGCACCAGAACGCTCAATGTCCACACACACCA